GCGCGAACTTATGCGTGTGGGCTGCCTAAGAGGACAAGTATGCTATTAAGAGGGCTGATTTTTATTAATAATAAAAAATTACATCATGCAAGAATTCAGTCCGGTTCCGCCAGGCATTGTTCTTTATAATGGTTTTGTTCTGCGAGTACATAGCCTATATGTATATTATAAAAATAGTAATTTAAAAAGAATCTGAATAATTTTGAAAATAATATATTATATAATAAAATATACATGTAATAGTAAGTAATATATTAATACGCAAGATTTATATTCCACTGTCATTATTACGCAAGTTTAATATATCCGGGTCTTTACTGTTCTGATTACGCTGATTGTCATTATTAGTAACGCAAGGTTTATAATATACCCGGGTTTTATTGTCATTATTAGTAACGCACGGTTTATAATATACCCGGGTCTTATTGTTATTAGTAACGCAAGGTTTATAATATACCCGGGTCTTATTGTCATTATTAGTAACGCAAGGTTTATAATATACCCGGGTCTTATTGTCATTATTAATAACGCAAGGTTTATAATATACCCGGGTCTTATTGTCATTATTAGTAACGCAAGGTTTATAATATACCCGGGTCTTATTGTCATTATTAGTAACGCAAGGTTTATAATATACCCGGGGTTTATAATATACCCGGGTCTTATTGTCATTATTAGTAACGCAAGGTTTATAATATACCCGGGTCTTATTGCCATTATTAGTAACGCAAGGTTTATAATATACCTGGGTCTTATTGTCATTATTACGCAAGTTTTATATTCCCAGGTATTATTGTCACTATTACACAAAGTTTATGTTCCCAGGTTTGTTACTCTTATTGTTCTGCAAGATTTATATTCTCAAGTCTTTACGGTCATGATTATGCAAGGTTTGTATTCCCAGGTCTTACTGCTATCATTCCACAATGTTTATATTTCCAAGTCTTTACTGGGACGATTACGCAGGATTTATATTCCCAGATCTTAACTGTCAATGTCTTGATTACTTAAGGTATATATACCAGGGTCTTTAAATTGCCAATTCCCAAGCGGTCCGCTACTGCTATGGAATTCTGTGTAACGAAAATACCAAGAGTAGCAGAATGACTATGGCCTTGTCGTTATAAGCAGAAAGATAATCACATGTTTTAGATATTGCGCAAATATAGAAAAAAGTTTTCTTTTATTTCCTCCTTATGATCACATTATTTCAAATTAATTGAATTAGTGTTGAAATCAAATGTACTGGGAATTAAACGTATATTTACACCTTCAAAATCACTGTTTATGGAGACATTTTTCTATAGACAACTTACAGATAGACTATCAGTTATATTTTGAAAAATTGATCAAATTATATAGATCTGTTTTTTTTTAGATGATTTATGAATATAAAGATCTGTTTTATTCTATAATATAATTTATCAATACAGAGATCAATTCGTACTATAGATGTATTATTCATACAGAGATCTGTTTTATTCAAGATAATTTATCATTATCGATACAGAGATCTATTTTACTCTAGATATTTTATCATTTTAGAGATCTGTTTCAATTAAAATTATTTATCATTAATGAGGTCTGTTTTATTCAAAATTATTTATCAATACAGAGATTTAATGTATTCTGTAGAAGTTATTAATACAGAGATGTTTTATTTTAGATTTTATTTTTTATCAATACAGAGATTTGTTTCATTCTGCATAACTTATCAATACAGAGACCGGTTTTATTCCAAATAATATCAGTACGGATATATATTTTCTTTAATTCTAGATAACTTTTCGATGCAGATCTTAAATGCAGATCCTTTTTTTATTCCTGATAACTTTTCAATACAGAGACCAGTTCTATTCTTCAACTCTTCAATGCAGATCTTTTTTATATTCTAGATACTTTTGAATGCAAATAATTTTTTATTCTGGATAACTTTTCAATACAGAGACTAGTTATATTCTGGATAACTTTTCAATGTAGATCTGTTTTATTCTAGATCTTTTTATTCTTGATACTTTTCAAATGCAGAGCTTTTTTTTATTCTCAATGCAGATATTTTCTATTTTAGATAACTTTTCAATGCAGATTTTTTTATTCCTGATTACTTCAGAAACTATTTTCTTCAGAAATATAAATACTTGGTTAATTGGTCAGTGTTTTCCTTAAATTTCAATGTAGGCCACACAGATAGATGCCCTGGTAGAAAATGACAAAAGATATACAATATGAATCTTTTTTATTTAATAAATATTTTCAAAATATATACATTGTCTTGATAACAACCCTGTTCTTCTCTCAAGTTTCACATTATATCACAGTACATCATTGACAAAATCAATATAAATCAAAAGATTATCTACATACCAATCTCATCATAAAATAATTTCACCATACCTATTTCCTAATTTCCAAGCAATGCATTATTTAAAGGAATACTACCTCTTAGATTGAACATAAAGTTTAAATTCACAAATTTGGCCAATAGGAGTATATATTCCATACCTGGTACCATAAATATACAATGGAATCTGTGTATAATCTGTTCAACCCATAAAATTGAGTTATTATCCATGAAGCAAGAAATTATTGAAAAATGCTCAAAAACAATTATTCAATTATTAGTTAGTTTTATGGATTTAACACATTACACAGGAATTCTGTTGTGTAATTATGAAAGTGGAAAGTCCACTGATGAATACATTACATTTTGTACTTGAAATAAACAATAATAAGCATATAATATATATATATATACAAATTTGTTAAAATGCTGCTAAAATATGGTAGACAATTTATAAAGAAGATAGTGATGACGACACGAATAGGATGATAATGTATAAAATAGATGAGATCTATTAATAAATCTAATCTTCTCCAACTTCTTCTTCATTTTCAGGTGTTGGATCTGCTTCACCTTCTACTGGTGCTTCTGTTACTGCTTCTGTTGGTGCTTCAGTTTGTTCAACTGGTTCTTCAGTTTTTACTTCGACTTCCACAGGCTTCTCACCTTCTCCCTGAAAATACACAAAAAATAGCATTTTAAGTCTCTAGCCTTGAATATTTCGACATGTGGTTTTTGACAAATTTTTGAAAAGCTTATCTCCCAAAATCCCCTTTTCAAGTCTTCGAAGCCGACTTCCTCAGAAATATAATTTTACAGTAATTCTACATGATTTTTATATCAACAGCTTAGGACATGTAAAACCTGACTAGACATATTTAGATATAAAGCCTGAATAGACATATTTAGATATAAAACCTGAATAGACATATTTAGATATAAAACCTGAATAGATATATTTAGATATAAAACCTGAATAGATGTATTTAGATATAAAACCTGAATAGATATATTTAGATATAAAACCTGAATAGATGTATTTAGATATAAAACCTTAATAGATATATTTAGATATAAAACCTGAATAGGCGTATTTAGATATAAAACCTGAATAGATATATTTAGATATAAAGCCTGAATAGACATATTTAGATATAAAACCTGAATAGACATATTTAGATATAAAACCTGAATAGACATATCAATGTCCAAAAAAAAACATTTTCCTCTAATTTTCTTCAACATTGGCAAAAAAAACAAGTACATCAATCAAATAATACAATTTTTTTTTCATAATTATTCAAATGCATGTTTATTGAAAATTTATGAGACTTTGTTTAGATATGACAATTGTCGTGAATTATTTAATCAGTTAATATGAAGGAGAAAGAGTATAATTGTAATAGGTTATAATAAATGATTATATTATTATCATACCACTACAAATAATAACATGTAAATATAAGAGGAGCCATGAGAACTATAGAAAATGGTGCAATTGAAAAAAGTTGGTATTGTATAAAGTCAATGATGTAGAACTCTATTATGATTGTCAACAATATGATTTCACCAGCTGAGTTGAGACTGAATAAGGTGGGCATCAGGTCGCTAACATTTTCCTATCAATCTTTTTACACCACTCAGCTTTAGGCAGTCAAGTGTGACATTGAAAGGGTTGAGATTTTTCGCTATGCCAGATGAGAAGTTCCCACCAATCACAACAAGACATCAATTTTGTGTCCATAAGGCACACTCCGGTTAAAAGAACCAGAGTTTTTGGTAGAAGGTTTGTTCAGAAACAGGTGTCCTACAAAATAGTAACTTTCTTTTCTAGAGAGAAATGTGAGATTACTGGGAAATAACATTGTTTTATTGTCAGTTGTAAAGAAGATGACTAGTGTTTTGATTCAACTATAATTAGAGGAGATCTGATGGAAGAAAACTTAATCTTGGTTATTAATGGATGGTGGAAGCCATAAGGAACCTGCCAGAAGTTCAGGTTCTCATCAAAACAAAGACTTACTCCTGACATCATTTCAATCTTGTCAAATTTACAATCTTATCAATTACCTTTCATTTTATCAATTTGGAAAAAAATGATGATTTTACAACAGTTGTTTATATTTTAAGGGAACTTCATAGTTCTGTTTTTCCAAAAAAAAATTAAAAAATAACTTTAAAGCACATCAAAGAGAGTCACAATTCTACACCCATTAATTAATGAATTTTCAAAAAGAATATAAAAACTGGTTTTAAATTATTTTTTTGTTCTACAGAAACTTCATCATTTTAATGTCTACTTTCTCAGCTATGGATTTTAGCTTTGTTTTGATTTTTCTAAACTTTTTTTGTATGTATATCAGGAACACTGATAGCATCGATTTGCACCACTATTCAGGCAGACATCTCTGGTTACAATAATTCTATCAAACTAAGTGTTTTTTATCACAAAGGCCCTTGGATATTGTTAAAAGCTTTTGCAACATCATATACAGTTAAGTATTTCTTTACTTACAAGAACAACAGACATCTGATAAGAAATTAGAATGATGCAAATAGAAGTCTTACATCTCCAATACACATAAAATAACCCCTTTAATATCACCCATTGACATCAGAGATATTTAGCTCTATACCCATTTACTGGGTAGCTGTCAAACTAATAAATAAATTTACTTACAGTGGTGGTATCAGGGGAGGGTTCTGGGGCTGCATTTTCAGTATTAGACTTAGCTTGAGTGGTAGAGGAAGCTTTATCTTCTGCTGTACTATAGAGATCCAATCTATTGGAAGTGACTTCTCTTATAATACCATCTAATACCATTCGACCGAGTTCTGATTTCTCTAATTGTATTTCAACCTGTTCCATTAACCAAGGCATAAAACCCTGTTCAACATCTAAAATAACAAAATATAAGTAATAAGCTTGAGTTCGGTAGATATGTTTTCAGTTGAGCCTATTATATCATGAGGTGGTAGAGATGTCATTTGCTAATGTTCTATGTCACTGTTATGACTCATAAAATCAATAAAGTCGAGCATAGTCTAAGCTTATTGAAAATTTTTCACAGATTAAATATTTAATCCACTGTTTTTTTTTTCTTTTAGGATAAAGATAAAATATTAAGAAAAATCCCATTAAAAGAAATATCTGATATTACATCATAACTAGCATGTTAGATCTAGCTTACACTTAGACAAGTAAAATTTTATCACCATGAGTCACCAGACAAGATATTTGGAAATTTGTTAAAAAGTACACCTCTTCTTAAAGGTATAGGATGACCAAAAAATTGAAATTTTTAAAATTTCGTTAAAATGAGTCTTTGTTCATTGTGGACTTACCTGGTGTCATAACTATACAAAAAAAAACCCCTCTATAATCTAATAAATCTATAAAACTAAGTTATAATTCATTAAACTAAATGATCATTTACTTTAATGGATATATTGTCTTGCATAGAGATTCTATTCTTTAGTTATGGCAATTAACTCCAACTGATGAATATATACACTTGTTGAGTAAGTTTAACTTTTAATTTTATGTCTATTTTAAAGTATCCCTTTTACATCAAACAGTGTTGGTGTTGTAAAATATCATCATAATTATTACATAGTACACCCGATACCCATGTACATGTTTAAATTACATTTGCTAACAAAATGAATCACTTAAAGTGTTGTTATTCTTTCGTTGCTCCATATATATTGCAAATCAGCAAGCAGATTATTGTCCATTCATACATCATCCTTGACTAACGGGCCACTTCTATTTCCAAATCATTGGGCACCACAACATAAACAGAACTATAGGTTAGTAGTCAAGAACAATTATCAAATGATTACCTCTTTCAACAGGATCATAGAAATATCCATTGTCAGCCAAAGTTCCAAACACTGATGGCACCAAATCAGCCAAATAACTCTGAGCAAATGCTCTGGCAGCAATTTTCTCTGCTGTTTCTTTTTCTTTTTTCAACACTTCATGTTGTTGTTTCATTCGTCTTTCCTAAATATGAAACAATACAATATAAACATAACAAAAAACCTATTTCAGCAGATTTTAAGGTATGCTCACTATTTTAGATCACATGATGCCACTCCTGGATTGTCAACTTTGCATCTCTTTCAGAAATTTTTACATAAAAATGTTTTTTTTTTCTCTTATTTAGAGCTTTAGAATTTTTTTTCCTATTTTGTGCATCAGTTTTTTCAAAGCAAAATTTAAGTCACTTAAGTATAATTTAATACACCACCTTTTCTTCACGATGACGTCTTTCTTGTTCTTCGAGACGTTGCTGTTCAACTAATTCTGCGTTGCGCAGTTCTTCAAATGCTCGTTGTTGTTGTCTTAGGTTTGATAATTCTTCTTCTTCCATAACTTCTAAAAGAGCCTGTTCTACTGTCTTTCCTACTAATACTTCTAATATAGGCTTGACTTCAATATCGAAATCAAACAGCTACAATTTTTAAAAAAATAAATTGTAAAAAAATAAACATTATTCTAATCCAACAAAAGTAACCCTCAAATAATCAGGAAGTCATTAATCAAATATTTCAAAAAATGGTTTATTTCCCTAATGATTTCCATAACTTTTTCAAGAAAATAGTTCAAGGGAGATAATGAAGTTTGCAAAAAATTTTCTAGCATCAGTTTAAATAGCCTAATACTCTGAACTCCTTAAACTAGGATCATCTCTTCAACAAGTTCATAAGGTATTAAATATTTCTACCCTGTTTTGCTTCATTGGTAATACTCAAAATAAGGACTGAGGTAATAAGTATTCATGATGACACATGATTTTCACACAGGCCAATCAATGCATTTTTAATTTTGGTTTGTTTTGTAAATATGAACTGAACATTTAACTTGTATACATCATATAAGCATTGCCGAACACTCTCATATGAAAAAGGCTTTTTTGATTGGTTAAAATTCACACCCTCAATGCACTTTTAAGTTTGGTTTGTTTTGTAAATAGGAACTGACACATTTAACTTGTGAATATATCAGCATTGCCGAGAGATAGAGATAAAAAACATTAATAACTTACATCTCCTTCTAATATTTGTGTTGCTACATCTTTACCAGTTTTGGCTGGAATAAATAATGGGGAGGGAGGTCTGTCTAAAAAGGCATCAGTTTGACAATCTACATCTGCTTCTTCAACTCTATCACTTAATTCTTCCAAATATAATTCTGTCTGTACATCAATATGCTTTCTACCTTCTACAGCCTCTGGAGAGCGAGGTCGTAGTTGTTCTTTTGCACGTTTTCTTGCCATGGCACGTCTTTTATTTTCTTGTTGTCTTTGAATTTCAATAGGATCAGGTTGTGCACTCTAAAATGGAGATAAAGTATATTATATTTTTAAGTAATTTGGTACTATGGAGTATCAAGACTCCAAAATTAAGGTTAATAATTTAACTGAAAAAGAAGATTCCATATAAAAACAAAAAAAAATTCCACACATTTCAAATTTTCAGACTTATCTCCAGATCGTCAGATAAGCTTATTCAGAAGAAAGCATAACTAATGGATAGGAAAAACTGAACAGGATTTCTTGATACAATATCAGCCTGTGAGGCTTGTACAATAGCTACAAAGAGTCATTGTATATTTTGAGGTGAAGAATAAAATAAGCTTACAGCAGGAAGTGTGTGTTGAGCATAGGTGTTACCTCTAACAATTCTTCTATCATACATAATATTTCCATATTGTGATGGTACATCATTTCTGAAATAACAAACATTGAGGTTATTAATCACCCATCACTTAAAATTCACTTGTTCAATTTTAATTTTGACAGTTCAAATTTCAAGGATTCTCCCCCATGATATATGTTCAAATAGACCTTGCAATTCAGACATAAATATTCATATATGATTTTCAATTAAGCCAATTAACACACTGAGGTTCTTGGTAGTTACTTTTGTGCTTTGTTTAGTAAATGAACACACACACAAAAACAGTGAATATTATTATAAGTAGCCTGTGTTATTATTTCAATCAATGTGGTAATAAAACATGAAAATGAAATATGTATGGCTTAAAGAGATCATGTGGACTGGGCCCCAGCAAGTGAAAATTAGGCCGAAATTAATCAATTCAACAGAGATTAATTCTTTTTCAGTGTCTTTGAATAAAATCTGAGCCCCAGCACCCATTCATTCCTGGCGACAGGGTTGGATAGACTGAGCAGTATCATTTTGACTACCACTTGAACGCATTTAATCAAACAGAAGGAAAAGGGGATATGACCAAATGACTTATTGAACTGACCTGTATGTTACCCTTTGCTGTTTTGTCACAGAAGTGGTAAGGGGGCACATAGTGATCAAAACTGAAGTACCGGTATACAGGTGTAGGGTAGGAAAACGATTGGTAATTCCTTTCCTTACAACATAATAATATGGGTCAGCATCATGGTGCAAAAAATAAGATAACAGGTATGTAAGTTGTATCTATTCTATCTATCCCAAACTGCTGTTGCCATTAGTAGGTCAAAAGTATACTTGTTTCCATTATTATTAGCATTTGGTTGCTAGAATGCTACTTACTGAATGAGCGGATCTCGTGTTTCTCTGTATTTTTTCCTTTCTTGTACAGCTCTCGGTTGACTGGCAAACGTATAAGTACCGCCGTCACCTTTTGGGGGTAAGACCGCTGCCATAGCTTTAAAATATAAGAGAGTTATTCAGTTCCTGTTCAGAAAAATTAACATTGAATGACTATTCTCTCTGAATTTTTTCCTTCGTGGTGACAATCCACAATATTTACATCGATTGTTACCTAGCAACACCAACTTCCTGTAGTTGTGTTCGATTGGTTGCGCGTTCGATTATTTAATCCGCGCTGTGACCTAACAACCCCAACGTTTGTTAAGACAATCAGGGTGTGTCTTAGCTAACTTTATATCACACATAAAGCAATTATATTCGATAGTGAGACATAAAAGTGACAGTGAGAAGCCCCACCTGTATACCTTCGAACTAATCTAATAATTTTTTCTTATATTTCTTTTACAAATAAATAGGCCCACTTAGATAAGGTTTAATATTTATAACTCTATGGGTTTATCCTTTACTCCCTTGCAATGTGAAATTTATTCAATGATATCATTTTCATATTAGTGACTAGACCCTAGGCCTGATTGCAACATATGTGTGTATTGACTATTGGGTCACATTTTTACAGATGATGTTTCACCATATTGCGTTGCATCCAGTAAAAACAAATTCTATATTTTCGATTTCTAATGTATAACCAGATGACCTACTATTCTGCATTTGTACGGAATCACAGTCCAATTGACGCAATCTGACTTAATCGACGGCTACTGACGGGTGTGTTCAATGAATAGTCTCGAACAGCCAGTGTTTTGTTGCAATTGATAATCACTATTTACAAGGAGACTGGTTAACGGAGACTTACACTATTATAAGACCTTGCAAATTAAACTCAATGGTCAGTTATAAGGATTTATTAATATGGCGTTCTTGAATCGTGTTGTATCCAAAGTTTCTATTGGATCAGTGTGTAAACTGGTTTTTCCTTCCTCTTCAGCAGCTTTGACATCAGGACTGTGCAAGATAAATCAGTTAAAAGACAATGAACGTTTGAGATTTTCATCCACTGCAGCTAAACACAAGACAGAGAGGTATGTAGAACTTCTGACACTTATGCAATCATTGCAGCAATGGCAATATGAGATAATAAAAAGAAGAATTGTTTGATATCAAATCCTGAATTTTGTTAGAGTTACTTTTTAGAGAGTAAGTTTGTTTACTTGACATTATAGTTTCAGAGTGAGATCAGGTAAGCTTAATCCATCCAGAAGACTGAGTCTAACCTGCCTCTCATCCAGAAGCACCTGATATTTAAACCATTTATTACTTTTTAGAGTAAAGTTTTTGAACAGGACTAAAAAACACTTTATGAATTTGGTTGAAAAATGACCTGTTGAGTCTGGAACAATCTTGTCCACTGGACCTGAGTGACTAACAAAGTAACAGTCTTATTATATTTGATCATTAACATGTCATTATGCAAATGTTGAAGCCTAGGCATACCTGGTCTACTAAAGGTATTAGTATATGCAAATATTTGCCCTTTTTAATGAACTTTTATTAAATTAATGTTTGTCATTGTATTTGATTCATATTTGCAGACCTTGATGATTGCATTTTATTTTTGTTGTTTTAGAGTGAAAGTGCATTTTATAGATAGAGATGGTAACAAATTAACAGCAAATGCTAAAATTGGTGATAATTTATTAGATGTTATAATAGAAAATGATATTGATATTGATGGTTTTGGTAAGAAATTCCATATATAATATTATTGTTTTTTTTTCATATATTATTCTGCATTTTATTGCTTTATGTTTAGTAAATAATCTGTTCCAAAAAGATTTTTCTCCACATTTTATAATCTTAAATCCTTTTACTTAAGATAAAGAAAATCAATAATAAAGAGTTCTCGATTTCTGTGACCTGGTGAAAACTTCTGCAGAGACCTTGATTTGTATTGTGCAGTAACAGACGGTCTGAAATGTTCTGATTTTTTTAAACTGTTAAATCTGTGTTCAGTAGGAATAGGCTTGATTATGTGTTAATTAAAAAAAGTTAATGAATGAATGACCAAGGATTGATGATGGCCTAATTATCTAACTATAACTGACACCTGCTACCATTGTTTATATTTTTGGTTTCAGGTGCATGTGAAGGCACCCTGGCCTGCTCCACCTGCCATTTAATCTTTAAACAAGCAGATTATGATAAGTTGCCAGATACCCCCACTGATGAAGAATTAGATATGTTAGATTTAGCTTATGGTCTGGAAGACACGTAAGTTCTATTGGTATATTATGAATGATGTGATATGTTACATTGGTGACTATTATCAGTAATAATACTAATTAATTAGTTGATCAATTATACTTTCTCACCTTCTAACTTGTAATTACCATTGGTGTCAAAACTATTTCCGTCAATTATAAGGTGACATCCCAGATGTTTTCGCATAATAGCTTACTGAGCAGACAGATCATTCTTTTCTTATGTTTTTTAAAATCAGAGATACATAATATCAGTTATAACAAACTAATGATGTTATAAAACTTCAGTTGTAAACTAAGGCAGCTTAGAAAGTTTTATTTTGTTAATGCTCCTATTTATCAAATTTTTCCTCGCCCATGTCGGTAAGTCCATCCATCTTGACAGTTTTTAACGAAAAAAATGATGGAGGTATTGCCATTGATCTTTGAAATGTGTTCAGGTTAGGCATGTAAACAATTTTAGCACAATTCTGTTTAGACCATAATTTAAGGATAAGCCCCTTCGAAAATACAAAAGAGTTCTTAAAAATAGCAAAACGAAAGGTATATTTTTTATCCTGATGATGGTAGATGCATTTCTGAATGTTTTGATTCAAACTTAAGTGCCAGTGGACTTATGTTATCTTGCCTGTCAAACTATTTTTAAGGTATTTCAAAAACCCACTTGAAATCAGGGTTGCTCCACTGCTATAATGTTAGGATCTGCTAGCTAGATGGACACAATATTTTGCATGGCTCTTTTAAAAGTGATATGTTATTTTATTATAGGTCCAGATTAGGTTGTCAAGTTATAGTTACTAAAGATATGAAGGATCTAGAAGTTAGTGTTCCAGCTGCTGTAGCTGATGCTAGAGGACCTGTATGACCTTTAGGAAAGAATCAGAGATTTACAGAAATGTGAAGTGAATTTCAAAAATGTCAAGTGATAAAAAGTTGGAAGGTCATTGCCTTTCAAACTATTCTTGGAAAAGGGTGTTATAGTTTGAACATTGAAATATTCATATTGGTGTCCCTTTCATTTCTTCATTTTCTCAAAAATCCATTTTTTGGTATTGTACTTTTTGATGTATGCGAAAGATTTTACTGTTGATAAATTTTTCTGTTTGACAGTTTGCAAAGGGGCAAAACATTTAATTTAAATAACAATTCAGTAGGCCTCTGGTATATATTTTAAATGATTATTAACAGTTCAGACTCACAGTTTAATATATATATTAAAGTATATTGATGCAAAGATATTTGCACACATCTTGGGTTCATTCAAAATTATACAAGTCCGACTTATTGTGTAAAAGTAATGAAAAAATAGGCCACTTGTACAAGGTTGTGCATTGATGTCTTTGCTGGATTATATTATTATCATTTTAAAGATTCAGTGTATTACAATCAAAAAAAAAAGATATTAATGCTCATCCAGATCTATGTTAACTCTTTTATTATATTGTGATTTTATTGATTTTAATTGTCTAAAATATATAGGTATACAGGTTTGTATATAATTTGTAATAAATAATTTTATCTTTTGTATTGAAACGAGCTGGTATTAGGGGTGAGGAAGTTCATAGAAACTCCTATGTAAAGCACTGGCCGAGGTAAAAAATAAAGAGATCAGCTATAATTTCTCATCTGTGAAGTCCTCTTGTCCAAACCACACCCCCATTCCTCATACTCCCTTGGGGCCGTGGTAACACTAGTGAGAAAAATTACTTTTTTATAGCTAAATATTGTCCAATCAAAATTGTATTGGTAGCAAATTTCAGCAAATCACTAGTTATGACACTTTGTTTGCGAACAGGGCAAAGCGGTGTTGTGCTTTGTTTACATTCCTCATTTCTGTTCTACCGATCTGACTGGTCAAGTTTAAATGCCACCAACCTCACTTCCATGCCCAAAACAAAGTGTATCGAGCTTAATTTAATACAGGTTAATAAGACCATGTCAAAAACTGTTCGTGATACGATATTGTGAAGTGTGGAGTGAAATGTTTAAATTAATGTATATATGTGACCTATGCCTGGATCAAACCCCAAATCTGTGTTAGAATGAATGAGTTTAACTTGCTAAGCCACCTATCTTTTGTTTACAGATATAATTTCCACAAATTCGGAAATTGTGATTTTAGTTGTGTCTGTGTTTGGAAATTATCAATAGTAAAAATACACAAATTGACCTATACCAGTAACAGAAGACAAAAGAACAAAAAAAATTGTGATTTGGTATTAAAAAAGATTATCAATTCTCAACTTTATTACATAAATATTATTCTTTGATTCTATAAAACAATTTTCCTTGAAAAACAATTTTCTTTGAAAAAAGTTAGAAATGTTTCTTTTATTGGTCAAGTGAAAGCTTCTCAATTTCTTTGCATGTGCTGTCTTCTGATTGACCGCCTTTTTGTGTGTTAGATGGCTTTGACAGTAGATCGTTTCTTTTCAAATAACATGCTTCTTTATATGGTGGATTAATGGGTGATTGGGTTGGCTGGCAGTACGTATATCCTTGTCCTGTACCTAATTCTAATGGATATGTTTTGTCAGAGTCAAAACCACTTAAATCACCACAAGCCATGAAAGGTACACAAATACGATTTGATCCTTCTAAATTGTTAAAATCTACATTATAATGATGATCTAATAAAGGATTAGACATATTTGGGACATAGTCAGTTGGAGGTGAATAATTTTCACAGACCACAAAAGCCTCGATACTTGAATTCCGAGAACTACGAGGTTTAAATATTGTCACCATTGGGAAAAAAATCTTCAACTGTGAATATAACAAAGTAACATCCTTTCCTCTGAATATTTTAGCCACAAATGAACCAGATGGTTTGAGAATATGAGTTGTAATATTTAAAGCTGCCAGTAATAACTGAGCTTGAATATATTCATCTATGTCATGTAGTCCTGTCACATCAGGAGCTCCATCACAAACTACCAAATCTGCATGTTCACCTTCAAAATAACTCACAATCTCATCAGCAGTACTTTTCTTTGTGATATCTCCTTGAAGCTGAATCACGCCAGGAATGGGAGCCATAGCCTGTAAATCAACCGCAACAATTTTAGTGTCTGATTTTTTTTCCTGATCATAAAGTTTTCTCGATAAAACCTGGCTCCAACTTCCAGGAGCTGCACACAAATCTACAACTTTCTTTACTCCCTTAAATATATCAAAATCATTGTTAATTTGAAGCAATTTAAATGCACTTCTAGCTCGCCAGCCTTCTTCTTTAGCTAATCTATAGTAAACATCTCTTTTGTCTTTCGATGATCTTCCCATTTTATAGATGAAGTAGCCAAATAATAGAGAAAAAATCACTGTTTTGTTTTGCAACTGAAAAATAAGAAAAATTAATATTAGTATAAAGAATATAGAAGGTTATTTGCCGACTAAAGGTATAGACGGGTGGCAGGGGAAGTTAAAAAGATTGTATAAATAATTACATGTATATTTCAAATTTGTTGTGTATGGGTGTGTATAAATTTGGGTACATTTTTTCTGAAGGTTTTTATGTTGGTAGAAAATTAAGTAAGGAGTAAAGAGTTCTATAGAGAAGGACCTGTATAATTTACACTGTTTTTAAAGAGTGATTTTTGGGTATTTTGCACCTTAAGTTAATGAGTATGGCGTATTCTTCTACATTATGATAGTGTTCAGATATGAGGTACATTTTTTTATAACAATTTTGTAGAGAAATCTAAAACAAACAGTTGAAACCACTGACATGGTTGTCATATTAGTACAAACTGATTTACTGGCTGTTTTATATTGGAGTTCTGCATTTATTAATTTGAATTTGCCTTGGTATGGACTTGCTTTTGATCAGTACTTGGTTGGAAACATGCTAAGCCTATTTGCCTTCGATCAATGACCATACTCCATAATAGAAATATAAGGTACCAAACAAATACACTTCCCTCCCAGAAATTCCCTGAAAAATGTCAGACAATTCAGAATGAAATTCTCTTTTGTAGTGTAACTGTAAGATCATATTTTCAAACAATTATTTCATGGGTCATTTTCATCAACCCAAATTAGTCCGAAACATCTGCCTCTCTTCCAGGCTCCAATAGCTATTTTCAGAGTTGTCTGCTGGCGTAGTGTCACAATATTGTATATATATGAAAATTTTTGTCCTATTGTAGAGATTGATGCGGATTTTTTTCTGCCTATATCAGCTGCCAAATTTCAGAGGCTGTTATAGAGGCAGATGTTTCGGACTACAAACCAAGTGGGAAGGTAGATCTATTAATACTAGGCCTATTTGATGGAATCCATCTCAGATGAATGAATCGGCTCTGAACTAAATGAAATAAAAAATCTTGAACATACACATACATTAGTTGCTTTTGTCGTCGTAAATTGTTTACCTGTGGGATTTGAATGATGATTCTTTGAACGACTTTATCGTAACGTGTTATGATATTGGAAACAGAAGGCACTTGATAATCTGATCCAGCCGATTATCTTTGCTTTAAAATAAATTTAAGGTCTCGTACAAAACTTTAACTAATCAGGTTAAAAACGAATACAGACATGGGTTATTCATAAAGTGTTCTTATTATATAACTCTATCTCAAATTTCTGACCAATTTGAAGGGAGGAAATGGAGATTATGAAAGAACCAATTTTTGCAGCAGTACAAAACTTTACATCAGTCCATTACATTTTATTGTGAATGATTAATTCCCATTTGGGTGTTTAGGCAAACCAGAAACGTAATTTGTGCATTTTTTGTACAAAAAAAAGAAACAAACAAAATTTCTAAAGATGATAATAATGAGTTCATAATATAAGTGCAAAAAAAAAATATTAATAATGTATGAAGTTGTATGGTGTATCTTTGACCTGATATTATAAAAGTCGAGAAAGTCAACGCAAACAAAACGTAAAAATTCGTGATTTGAACGGAAGCAGAGTTTCCGCACTTCCGGTAATGTCCGCCATATGATTCTCTTTCTTTGATACCTTGCTCTACAATTTAAAATCAAATTCTTGGTCGATTATTAAAAAATTATGGAATCTTTACTGGAACAGCAAAGACGCTACCATGAAGACAGAGAGCGGACAATGGATGCCATGACCAAAGAGATGTTACACCCTAAAAAAACGGTAACAATGTCAATATTGAATACATTTACAGAATACTCAGTCAGAATTTATGTTATAGAACTTGGCCCATGCCTGGCCATGCGCCAAAATTTGAGGCTATTTTGGTCAAATTCCCCCCGCCCCTCCCCTAACAGAAAAAAATTGGCCCCCTAAATTCTTAAAATTTATAATCGACATGCGAGATTAAACACTAACGTCCTCTCTGACTCAGTGACTACACTGTTTTCTGAATTGAATTTTGACAATCATTTTTGTATGAATCGAAATATCAATTACAAAATACTACTGAGAGTCTTAGATTGCCTGTGGGTTTATAAAAATAATATGAATGAAGGCATGGCATTGAATAAGAGCGCAGGTTATTGATAAAATAACAATAATTGATAATAATTGAATAAAAGAAATTCAACCAGATCTGTATGTGTGAAGGTATGAATATAAGGTCTGTAGACAATCTTTATAAGGTATCTAGAGAAATTTTTATAAGGTGTGAAAGTAATCATCTATAACGATGACGTCATTATAACGTGACGTATGATGTCAACAAAGCCACCATCATTGCTTGGGAGAAAGTCAAAGCTGTCATTTTATTCCTTATGACGCATAGAATATCCTGGAAAAATAAAAATAAAACGTAAGGGGTTGTTAAGTTGGTACAAAACACCCCTTTCTGTGTTTGAAACAATTGTCGTAATTTATATAAAGAATTTCAAAATATTCACTCCGAAACTACCCCGATTGACTGCTATCTAGTTGTCAACAAACATGGCGGCCCCCATGATCCGCCATCTTTTTTCTCACTTTTTTTTTTTACTACCTGTGGGGGCATAAATTTTCTGAAACGAATCGATGTATATGTATGTGTTACCATTATAGAGAGCTGCGCTCTCATATTAATTTTTAATGATTTTACAGAAGAGAATTTTCAGTCCAAAAAGTGGGGCATTTTCACATGAATTTTATTATTATTATGGAAGGTTTAAGACATAGATAAGCAGAATGTTTCTTATATTTTATTATGAAATTACTGACTATTGTTTATATTTACAGCTGAGAGAACAAATTAATTCAGATCAAAGATTAAAACAACTACTTGATGTAAGTATATAACCACAGCCATAGCACAGTCCAAGTTAGGATGAGGCAAAGGGGATTTTAAATATATAATTATTACACTACAGCCATGATTACATATCAACTGTATTTATTTATTCAATGCTTTTTTCCCAAGCTCATGACTCATTCATGAATACTTGAGGTACATTATTATGCATGTTTCATTTTCAACAGATACCAGTTAAATTTAATTTCAACTTTATTGAGTTAAGATCTTTAAGAGTGATAAGTTGATTTGGGATATATTTCTGTTATTTAGTGTAAAAGAATATATGACTCATATATTTTTATTAGTTAAAAAATGTCTTATGATATCCATTTCCATATGTTTTAGCGATATGTGGATTGCAGTACAGAAATTAAAGAATTATATGAAGATAAAGATGGGTATGTACTAAAAAATGAGTTCAAATATTTAGATATTATAATTTAAATAAATGTTTATCTAAGTTAAAAAGCTGATTTATGCTACATTGCTACAGCTTTTATTATCAGGAACATTATATAGATTGTCAAAATAACCCATTTACAACAAAAACTTCTTTATTGATTATTTGAACCAAACTTGTGATCTTTTCAGATTAAGGAAAGAAGAAATTCAGGCTCTAGCAGGACCAAATGAATATTCTGAGTTTCGATCCAGATTAGGTGCAATAGAAAAATTCTATAATCAACATCCAAATGAGGTGAGTTCAGTTTTTACGACAGATTTCTGCCTGTTGTAGGTGTACAAGTATTCAACTGCAATCTTTTGACTTCTTCAATTTCTTTACTAAATAATTTATTATGTTATATTTTCAGATCAGTGTACCAATGTCTGTAGAATTTGAAGAACTGGCCAAACAAAGAGAAGCCTCAGCTGATGAAACACAATGTAAATATTAGATATGATATTGAATTTTTGATGTTAAAAATGGTACAAATCTTGGATGAAATGTCGTGTTTTTTAGCATAGTCATTAAGAGCATTTTCTTGGTTATGTCAAACAAATTGTGGTCATAGGACAATTACCATATAAAAGTCTGGTGACTTTGATTAATGAATCTTGTCTTGGTTCTAATCTTGGTTGGTGTGTGAATGTTTGGTACGGATAATAATAGAAAGATCAATGCCAAGACATTGGGCCAAGGACTAGCTGGTAGAAAGGATACTTGTGATCATAAGAGGTTATCCTTGTAAAAAATGCTAGTTTTTGCTTTTACATTCATCAATTCGTTAATTGGTTTCATTACTCAAAATTTTTGATTGATTTGAATATGTTTGTGAATTTTTTTAGGTCTGGTAGATTTTAGTGATGAAGAAGGTTATGGTCGATATTTAGATTTGCACCAATGTTATGAGAAGTATCTTAATTTAAAAGGAGTGGAAAAGATTGATTATATAACATATTTGACAGTGTTTGACAGATTATTTGACATACCTAAAGACAAGAAAAACAGTGCTTATAGAGAGTAAGTGTTGGATATTCAATTATGTCATGATGAAACTTTGTTATGTTGAAGAACTTGATATTTTTTTGAGGTATGGCAAATTTCAGCAATTTCAGATACCTGTAGTTCTTATCAGATTTAAATTAGACTGTGGGTTCTCCTACTCGATTTTTGATTCTCTTCCAAACTGTGTCACTTGTGGTTAAAACTTGTGAAGAAGTAATATCTGCTATGACTGCAGATGAGAAGCTTGATATATTCCTTGAAGTGGCAACAGTCAGAACTTCCACTTTTGGTTTTTGTTTATTGTAACCATGGTTAAGAAATTATCTTTTTTTTTATCTCTTGTTTAAATTATTACCTGTAATGGTATTTTTGTAAATGTTAATAATATATTTCAGATATTTAACAGTTTTATTAGATTATCTCTCAGATTATTTAAGTCGAGTGAAACCATTGTTAGATTTGAATGATGTAAGTTACATGTTAATTTTATGAATAACTCATTATTTTAACTGATTTTGAACCAATTGGGTCTGATGTTTTTGTGGTTTTATTTAAAACAAGTAATTGAAAGGAATTGAGAAACAGACTTATAATAGCCTATGTCATCCCTCTCCCAATCTGATGTTCTCTGATAGAACAAGGCATTTAAACACAGAACTACAGATACAAGCTCCAGACTCATGAAATTTCTTTTTAAATTATATATAATGTATAATATTTGAACACACATCTGATAAATGTATACATTGATCAAGGCCCTGTAGAAAAGGAACACCACCTGTTTTCAGCCATTTTATGTAGCCATTTTATGTAGCCATTTTATTGCCTCTGGTTGTGATCTATACAAGTGGTTTATAATTAAATGCCTACTGTATAATGTATTGGATGTTTGTTATTATTGTAGGAAATGGAGGTAGTAAGTAAAGATTTTGATGTACAATGGAGTGATGGAATTTTTCCTGGTTGGCCGGTTTGTATTTAACTTCTATATGATATATATATATATATGAATGAAAAATCATTGTGTCAACTTAAATCATATTTCCATGATCTGGCATCATTTGGCAGTGAAATGAAAAATATATATAAAAAAGAAACTTTCTAGTGTAAATGGTCTGTTATTAATGCAAAATGATAAAAAATTGGTCTTATGGTGTTGTGTTTTTATTACAGAAAGAAGCTACTGGAGCTTTAACACATTCTGGAGCTCATTTAGATTTATCAGCTTTTTCTTCATGGGAGGTAAATAACTATAAATAAATAAATATCTAGCAATCACCCTCCTAATACCTAAAAAATGTTCATGTTAAATGATAAACTTACAACCAATTTCAGGCCTAAAATCTTATCGTAAGTCTCTGGGGCTGTTTTTTTTCTAATTAGTGTCCCTGATTAATCAAGGCATTTTTACAAATTTTTATTTGATCATTATCTCAAAGTGTAAATGTATTATTTATTTAGGAATTAGCCTCGTTAGGATTAGATAGATTGAAGTCCGCTCTGATGGCTTTAGGTGTCAAATGTGGTGGGTGAGTACCATTTATATTTTTATACCCAAATCGTAATATGGACATATTTGGCTGTTACTTTCAGGAAGTGCTAATTTGTAACATCAGCAAAATTATGTTTTATTTCTTCTGTTTTAGAACATTAGAAGAGAGAGCTCAAAGATTGTTTTCAACAAAGGGTAAAAGTATGGAAGATTTAGATCCTAATCTATTTGCTAAATCTAAACCTGGGAAATCAGCTGGTAAAACAAAGTAAGTATATTTTCCTAATTGAACTCAGTAGATCATCTAATGCATTCTGAGGATTTCTTATGATCACATGGTCCGGAACATCTGCCTCTATTCCAGCCTCTGATAGCCAGTTGTCAACTGGTGTAAAGTCAGAAACATTTGGCCTTGTTTTACGGGGATTTTTCCTCCTTAATGAGGGTTTTTTAAACATGTCAATTTACCTCTAATCCACAAAACCTCGATATATTTAGGAGGATGGATATATTTTTGTAGTTTAGTCATACCATCATTAGACCCTACACCATTTATGTCCCTAGCACCTTCAGGGATGTGGAAAATACCTATAAAAGGGGCTATTTTTTTTAACCCTACTCCAGCTGACAACTATCTTATCTCATTGTCAATTTCTGCTGCTTTTGAGCTTGGACAGAGTCGGACTGTAGATTGGAAAACACTCCAATTATTTATATAATGAGACTTTGTCATTTATTTTTTTCAGGGATGTAGAAAAACAGAGAGATTTAGCCACATTAGAAGCCCAATTATACAGATTGGCTGAATTATTAAGTGAACAGAGAGCTTCTACTAGAGAAAATGTACAACGTAAACAAGCTAGAACTGATGCTGAAAGAGAAGATTCCGATGAAGAAAATATGTCTGATAATGATTCTGAAGACGAAAATGAAATTCCATACAATCCTAAAAATTTACCTCTTGGATGGGATGGGAAGGTAATTATTGAAGAAATTTGGAAATAATAAGTTTGAAATAATAAATTTTATTAAGTTTTGGCTGCAGAAAAATCCAGGTTTGGATATCAATATTTTCAATAAAAAAAGAAAATACTTATGTATTTAAAACCTTTGAACAGGAAAAATGAAAAAAAATATTAAAGTATTTATCTGCAGACAGGTCAGAAAACAAGGTTTTGTAAACAGTAATAAAAATTAAGAGTATTCTCTAAGAACATCTTTCTAATCATTAATTATATATTTTCAGCCTATACCATATTGGTTATATAAATTACATGGTTTGAATTTATCTTATACCTGTGAAATTTGTGGTAATTTTACCTACAGAGGGCCAAAAGCCTTTCAAAGACATTTTGCAGTAAGTACATCTTCATTCTAAAAGCGTTTATAGGAATCTGAAATAGAGCTCTGAGACTATAACCATTTAAAACAGAACTTGAATCATGTTATCATAACTATGAGTATTGTCATCCTTACTCATTTATTTTGTATCATAAGTGCAGACAACTCTTATGATGAGCTCTTACTTGACAAAGTTATGTTGGCAGCAGACATGTGTTTTTGGTATGAGATCCACAATCAGGACAGCTAGTTCATGTCATTTTTTAATGTTAAATATAAATTATAACTTATAGGAATGGAGACATGCTCATGGTATGAGATGTTTAGGTATACCAAACACAGCTCATTTTGCAAATGTCACATCAATTGAAGATGCTTTAGCATGTAAGTTGAAATATATTTGAATTTATTATTTATCAATTCCATGAGCTAAGTTTTAATAAATAATTTACAGCTTTTAATCAAGTAGAATCAAGAATTTTTTACAACAGAACACAATTTGTTATCCGTGAGAAATACAGATTTTTGTGTGAAATAATCAAATGTATTGTTTATTGTAGTATGGCAAAAGATAAAATCTGGTAAAGAACAGGGAAGATGGAAACCAGAACAAGAGGTAAGTTTGTCTGTTGGAACAGCAGCTCAGGAGCATGGTTTGTGTACTGTGAAATTACCCTCAAGATATAGATAGTTGACTCAGTGTTGTATTTTTGACTCTTCTATCGTAACTTGTGATATATTTTATTTGCAAAAGCCCCTAATAATATCTAAGGGCGTTTGTAAAAGCAACTTCATAAAAGTCTTAATTTTAATAGAATAGCAAGAAGCACGGACATCTGACTGAAAATTGAATAGGTACCAATGGATGCTATCAGTGTCCCTATATACATATAAAAGATCTCTTTACAATCCCATTAATGAACAATATTTGATTATTATAGGAAGAGTATGAAGATTCAGTAGGAAATGTTGTGACAAAGAAAACATTTGAAGATTTAAAACGACAAGGTTTATTATAAATATACATTATGAAGTACATCATGTAAATATATCATACATTCTAATAAACAAGCAACAAATATATCATGTTATATCTGTATTCATAAACCCTGGTAGTCATCCCCTTAACCCCCTTTGTCATAGCACATCCACTTTGAGCATTAAGCTATTGACACCATAAAAACTGTGTGAAGCTTTCAGCCAAATCCATTGTTCTATTATGATCAGCTGCAATGCAACAAAATGGAATTGATCTCTTAAATAAAATTGTTAAAGTAACTTTTATTTTAATTTGGACCTTTGCGATTATGTTCTTTGATTTGTTTTTTAAATTGACAGTATTCAAGATTTGATATAAATAAATATCTGAATTATATAAAGAAGACTTTTTCAGAATAAGAATATTATCTAGAAGATTGGACACAGCCTCAGGATTTTAATGACAAAAAAATTACTTTAATATCACACTAAGGCTATATTAGAAAACTGATGTTCTATAGAATGAGGATCTTTCAATAAAGAAACAGGAATATTGCCATACATATTAGATTTAGGTGAATAAACCCATAACCAAGTAGAATTAGTCTGATTATTATAGTCTATGAACACTATTTCACCTTTAGTTACTGTTAGATAGGGCTGTGTCTTACTGGTATAATTAGCTGATATAACCTTCTTTATATAGTTTGGTGAAGATGGTTTAACTTGTTCTTGTACTGGTGAACTTGATTCATACATCACATTGTCTGATGGTTGAATATTAATTTTACTGGACGTTGCGCGTGGTTGTACATTAGTCTTTACATGGTCATTATATTTCACTGTTTTAACACTTATATCACCTTTATCACATTGGTCCCTTTGACTATTTCGTCTTTCGAAAATTTTAACTGAATTATCATCTGGTTCAACACATTTTGTTTTGGGATCTATAACATCTCTAAAAGTAACAGTATTTTTGACACTAGTTTTGTCGTTAGGTTTATCTCTATCTCCATATTTGATATTACTGGTAATGTTGTTCTGAACATGGCTTGTATCACTAACTCTGTTTCTGGAACACGATAATAGATTGATGCCTCTCTTAGAACTATTGTCAGGTTTACTAAAATTGGCAGAACCTAAGTTTGAGGGCAGTTTCTCTGTTAGTTTTGTAGTCTGTGTACTATTCTCATATACACCCCATATATTGATGTTTTTCTTGATATTACTTGGTTTATAATCTCTAGGTGGTAAGGGTGGGGGCTCATCTCCTTTCTTATTGTCATCATCTGTAACATAAATATAGAGATATAATTTTAACATGGATCTTTCATTGATGATATTTTCTAAAATTTTGAAGAAGTATATGGAACGATGTACCATGAAATTCAACTATCAACCAAGTTGAACCATGGTAACTTTGCTGTTTCATCCTTTATGAGATTGATTTGATAAAATAGGCAATATTCCTGTTTGAAGGTTGTCTTGATGGCGGTGAATCTTCACCAATGATCATTCCAGGCCTGAATTATCCTGGTAGCATTAAAGGACTCAATGCTTAAGTTTTAAGAGTTCTGAATGTTTTTCACAGACTAAAGTGACAAGTACCCTTCTGAAATACTTGCTGCAACCAAGTTTGTAAACTGAAATCTCCTCCCAGAGAGCCCACATAGGTATGATATTAATTTGGTATTTACCTGTGCAATAGAGATATCTTGGTAATAAATATATAAACGATGATGGTATAAAACCTTGTTGATTATTAGATTTACTAATCCAAGACCAATTATTATCATCAGTATTTAAGACTGTTACTATTTCACCACGTTTCACATTAACATCATTTTCATTGACTATCTGAAAGTCATACAGTACCACATATTTATCATCACTTGGTGTGGTTTTAAATTCTGTTGAGAATTCGATATCTTCTATATTTTCTTCATTATCATCTTCATCTATTTCCCAAATAGTAAAATCATTCTCATTGTTTGATAATACAGATCGTCTTTTATGTGTATTATATGTTATTAGGAAAGAACTGGGAACAAACCCTTCCTTTCCATCTTCTCTAATAATATAAGACCACCCATTTTCTTTGTAAAGTTGGTAAACTTCCTGCCCTTTTTGAATTTCCACTTCATTTTGAGTGCATGATAAAAAATCATGTGTAGCCACCATTTTGGAATCAGCCTTCAAACCATGTTGTTTCTCCAGACCTACTCTAACTAAGGTATCAATGCTGGCACTTCCTGTTATTCTTCCTAAATATGGCACTGAAACACACAATATAATACCAGTTGATTTGATATTTTTTAAAACTTTGTTAAAATGAGTCTGTGTTCATCAGTGGACTTACCTGGTGTCAAAACAGAATCCCCCTATAATCTAATAAATCTATAAAACTAAGTTATAATTCATTAAACTAAGTAATTTTGAAACATCCTTAGAAGGTGTCTTATATAGAGATTATATTCTTTATATTAGTTATGGCACTGGGTAAGTCCAACTGATGAATGTATACAGTAGCAAGTTTGATACTATAAATTTCATGTCCATTCTAAGATATTTTAACATATTGGATCATACCTAATGCTTGTTTTTTTCATTGTCAGAGTCTTGATTAGATGAGTCCGAGATGCGAAGCTTTTCACTTTGTGAAAGAATTAGTTGTTTAGGCCTTAATGTATTGCGAAGATATCCAGTGCATGAACATTTTCATGCTATACGCAAATGATTCCCAATCAACATTTCATGCTATACGTAAATCATTCCAAATCAATAATTTCATGCTATACGTAAATCATTCCAAATCAATAATTTCATTCATACGTAAATCACTCTAAATCAACATTTTCATGCTATACGTAAATCATTCCAAATCAACAATTTATGCTATACGTAAATCATTCCAAATCAATAATTTCATGCTATACGTAAATCATTCCAAATCAATAATTTCATGCTATACGTAAATTTTACCTACAGACTGACGCTTTTTATAGTAATGAAAATTCTTACCTTTAGGCTTTTTGTCTTTATTTCGTACAGATCTACTGGGACATAGAAACGCCATGATAAATATGATTCACTATAATACACCAGTATATAGACCTATATCCTTGTTACAAACTAAGTTCTGGTTGATTAAAACATTGGAATGTTCAATAATCCTATTAAATCTTACAAGTAATGACAAGTTTGTTCTGAGGTAACTAAATCTATATAACTTCATCGAGCACAGTTTGTCAGGTTTTGAAGTCCGACAAACTATGATTTGTTTTCATGGTAATTTGAACCATTTGCTGTTCATATAGTTACCCATTGGCATATACATGTGAAAACTGTAGAAAATAATTAATGGGATTAATCAATTAACAATATCGGGGATTAACAGTGAACATTATTGGGATTATCTTTTTAACCCATAGTCATGTTAGTTAAGTATTTATGCTAAACAATGTGAATGATTTAAGTCAAACTCTTTACATGACTGAGGAAGAAAATGTAAGCTACATAAATTCTAAAAACCCATTTATTTGAAGCTAACATTTCTCTTGTTTGTGACGCGCCCTTCGTAAATCCTCTTCAAAGAAGCTCTCAATATTGTATAATTATATCGTTTATTATAGATGTATGCAAAAGCGCTACCTAATCTGAAATCGTTGGTGAATTTTCCCCTCAATTCATTGTGTGACGCTTTATCTGACAGGGTATAGCGGGGAACCATAATATCATAATACACACCTGCTTGAAGAGTGCTTATAATGGCGTAAAGCTTCTTGAAGGGGATAATATTGGAGGTAAAAATGTAAGGTAGCATCGACATATTGATAGACTCAAGTGACGGAGTGGCGAACTCACTGGCGAACTCATTGGTGGAATGATGAACTCATTGAAGGAGTGACGAACTCATTGACGTACTGACATAGGCCTAAATAGAAAATAGTGATTTTTATTCGATTATATCCCTTTAACCTCACCGATTGTTCACTTAAAGGGATGATTTTGATTTTAGATTCAATTAAGTTATAAGTTATAAACACGAAACAGAATTTGTACCAGCAAAGAGACCTTCATGATGGAATAATTACTTTTAGATATCCCGATTTGACTAAAAATGGTTTTTATAGGCTACATCCGTAGAGTTTAATAATATATTATAATGACCACCACTAAAAACATTTTAATGTTGTCCCCTTTTATTTCAGTGTTAAAACACTGAAATAAAGGGAGACAACCACCGACTACAAGCCATATTTAATATAATATAAGAACTATAGACTACTTTTTTTGCTGGAACAAATAAGCAGCTATATTATACCGGCAATATTATTATTCTATGAGAACAATTACTGGATAATATTGATGATAAAATCATTAGCCTATAAAAAACTGGCCATGCTATAATAGAATCCTAATCATCCCATCTATTATGACGTCAAGTAATTGTTGTCCATTGAAGGACGTGGAATCAACTTACTGTAGGTCCTAATTTACAGCATGGATTCTTCTGTTTTCGATTTTTTCGAAAACCGTCCTAATCGTGAGAATAGAGATGAAAAGAATAACAGACCAGCATCACATTCAGAAGGTTGTGATTTTGGTTATGAGTATGACTTTGAATATGAATCACCAGAATCAGACAGCCCTAGAACCATCATGTCCTCAGAATCGCCGGTGAAGTTTGAAGGTATTGTTCAACAGTTGACACCAGATTATTCCTCTTCCAGTGATTCTGATAATGACGAATCTTTATATTCACCATCACCCAGCGAATCATCGAGTAAAGCTGATAGTTCGGATTCGATAAGATCTGTATTTGGAAGTGATTCACCTGCAGACGACTCGCCTGAGATATTTTCTAGTGTCCAAATGTCTCCATTAGGAGTAGAACGGCAGCTATTTGTATTCCAGTCCCCCGTGGAAGGAAAAGGATTAGAAAATCGGTTTAAGAACGATGAAACAACGAAACTGAAAAGCAACGTTTCAATTTTGAGCTCGAAATGTAGCAATGTTTCCACAGATACAACTGTTTATACGGATGATAAAGAAACTATACAACCTAGACCTTCCCCATCCACCGAATTAATCACTTTTCATCCAGTGAATACGAGGAAAGTCACACCTATTACACATGGTCGCAGAGCAACACATGAAAAAGGAAATAATAGCAAGAACCTTCCACCAAATGGAAAAATCCTCAGTGCACCACAACGTCCGAAGCCTGAAGCTGTGGACGGTCCATTCGTAAAAGCAATAACTCTAGCTGAAAACTCTGGCATTCGACATCTGAAAGCAAACCAACCTTGTAAATTGACACCTTATGTACGCCTGCCCGGCATTCCAATTAGGATAAAATCTGAAGCTTTCTTTCAAAATGGCGAACTTGAAATACGAATTTTCAGA